TTGAACAGTTGTGATGGGATGGGGAGGGGGAAAGGACAAGTCTAGCTGGGTAGTACACTGACGCTGTTGTTAATGCCATGCTCTAGTTTCTAATAATACACACTAGTCTCCATTAATGTTACTGGGCATTACATGTATGTGTCATTCATAAAATGAACTTCCTGATCTTTATCTGCAAGTTTTCTTTGGATTTGTTATCGTTTCTCTCCTGCATACATTTTGGGCAATGGAACAAGCCTTGTAATCACAGAAGAGCCTTGCCTAGGTGGAATGTAATTAAGAATACATTTTTTAGGTTTATGAATCTTGAACTGGGATAAACTCTTACGTCTTCATTAGCTTCTGCTGAGCTTCAATATTTAAACAAGCTGGTGGCACAGTAACTTCAAACACGTCTTCAGTCATTTCTGCTTGTGGCAAAGGCCCCAAGGAAAGCACCCTGGAGATGGAGCACTCCGTCAGAAAAGGCAGATTGCTTGCATACAGATGAGTCTTCATTTGATAAAAATTTTAAGCACCTGTGGTTAGGATGCAAAAATTGGAAGCATGACCGCCAGAGGCAGGTGCCCATTATAATGATTCACTCTATGAAAATAAATCTTTCTTTAAACAAGCTGATGAAATAAAGATAAAATTTCAGGGAATAAAATGTAACAAACAAGGAATGATTTCTGTTTTGCTCTGGATATGCATCCAGCAGAAATCAGACTAAGTCCATTGATTCACTTCCTACAGGATTCAAATCCTAGACAGGAGCCTAAGTCTTAATTTTGGAAGACAAGAAAATCTTCCCGTGTTTTATATCCTGCATTAATCCCGAAACGTCTGTACTTAGGATGGCCAACATCTTTCGTCAGCCAGTAACACTAACATTCCGATGCCATTCAGATGGCAGTGGCTACCATTATCTCTGGTCTTCATGGTAGGGAAGAGACATGGAAGAAAAAAGCTCTTCTTTGTCTGCCATACGATCTGCATATGGTTAAGCTAGGGATAACCTATCTTCCAGAGGATACCTGTATGCAACTGTATCTGAAAAGATCCTGAACATACCCATATTTTGGCTGAGGAGGACACACTCAGTCATGCTGCACTGAAATAAAGAATAGTTCAAGTTGCTAAGACATTCTAGCTGGTTGCTATGGCCTGATATGTATTGCTACAAATGTTTGGCTCTGGTTTATTATTTTTCAAAGGATCAGCTTGTTTGTATAACATAAACTAATCTATCAGCCATTAGAAACAAGCTCTACTTTTTCTTCCTGTCCCGCCTACTCTTTTCTGAAACAGATGACATTCATCTTTGTTGTGCAGTTTTGGACTGTCCCACACTTTTATTCTTTCGTGTTTTCCATGCTTCTACTGAGAACAGGCTTTTAAATGGTTCAGCTTAGCAGTAATACATTTATATTTGTTAAACTTTTCACTTCTGTACAGCTAATATATTTCTCCTGAAATGTGCAATTGTTTGTTTTAAAAAGGAATGCTCAAAAAAGTATAAAATTACATATGGCAAGTGCAGTTTTGCTCATAGGTGTTTTCAGTGATCACACTGACCACAAAACAAACTCTGTGGATTTCTCTGGGGCAGCATTGAACCCTACCTGAATGCTCATGGCCTGCCTCCTGCCAAAATCTGTAACTTTTTAAAGTAAGAATCTGTTCTGAAAAGCAACGGCCTCATGTGGCTCCTTGCTTATCATGTCTCAGTGTTAAAATTGCTCAGTTCAGGAGCAAAACAATTATTTTATTCTTTTTTTAAACTAACAAACACCCATGTAAACTCAGCCAGACCTGTGGCACTCAGCCTGGGTTCTTCCCTGCTTATGTATTGCCACCTGCTACAAAGGCCCTCACTGAATCTGTGCCCCTCTGACTTTCCTCGGATATGCTTAGACCTGCACAACTTCAAACTCTTACAGTTCCTACAGCCTTAGCTGACAGCAGCAGGTAAACACTTCTGCAGATGAGGCACAAAAAGTAACACTGAAACTCAACTGTTTGGGTGAAATAAACCAGGACTAAAATAAATAAATTAAAAAAAAATCTAACCAAATGAACCTCCTCCCCCCTTCCCCCCAAACAAGCAAAAAATTAAAATCCATAACCCAGCCTAAACCACACCAATTAACAACCAGTCAACCAGCCTTCCCTCACTAATTTTCAAAAAGACAAAGCGAAACCCAAAGAAAAAGCCTACTGTGAATATCTGCTTCTTATTTAGTTGCTGTTCTTCATTTGTACCAATGTCCTATATATGCCTCCACCATAGCACGTGCCCGGGCTGCCTCTGAACTGCTAGTGCTGGTGGCTTGGGACAGGGCAGATGTGGCAATGGCTGAGCCTGTCCTGCTGTCTCCCCCTTAATGGGGCCCTGATTGGATTCCTTCTCCTCCAACCAGCTGCTGATTTTCATGAAATCTTTAAAAAGAAAGAAATCTTTAAAAGAATAAAATAATCTTTGAGGCCCCAAATTCTCTGTTAACTATTGCTGAAGTTGGCTGGTGGCTAAAAGTTAGCCAGGCGGTGAGGGCAGGACAAAGGAGCTTGACAGCCAGCTGGATGGACCAGGCTTAGGAAGTGGAGCGTTTATAAATCTGCCTTTCAGAGAAGCATGTTTAATTAATATATCTTTTAGGGAATTTGAAGGCATATTTCCACACCTCTCAAACAATGACATTCAACATGTGTGCTGGATGCTCCTTTGTATTTCTCCCATTTCCTCCACATCACTCTCTCTTGTCTTGGAGAGCTCCTTTCCCAGCCACCATTATTCTTGCTGAAAAAGATGAAATTTGGCCTCCGTTCAGAATATGCAGTCCTGCTGTGGCGAGGAGGTTGCCAGTGAATGACCTATGCCACTGCTCCATCCGGAGAAGGGAGCTGAATGTTTGGCTGGTCAGGGGCTGCGAGAGCAAGGACGGTCCCGTGGAGCCAGCAGGCGATCTCAGCACTGCAGGTCTTGCCCTTTTTGCTCTTCGTCACCCTGCCGGGACTGTCCTGCACGTCGGGAATTCACCGCAGGCTGCAGGTTGTGCGCAATGGCTCTGGCCATGGCCTGAGAAACCTTCACCACGCTGTGCAGCAACTCTCATAAATGCTTTAGCAAGCAAGTGTGGTCTTGCAACATGCGGTTTTAAAATGTAAATAAGATCACTGAAATTACTGGAAGCTATCAATGCAAATATGACAACTTTAAACAAGAAAGAAAGCCCTAATTATAGTTTCTGAAACTATGAAACTATACGCATATATATGCATCTAATACGCATATATACGCATCTAATACGCATATATTCCTGTACACTGTAAAGGAGGAAAAAGAAGTCACACAGTACTTATTTACTGTCCTCATGAGAAGGAAAGAAAACCAGTTATAAGTTTTTGGAAAATCACGATTGATAATAATCTGCATAAAAACAGGAAATCAGCTCTATTGCAGTTACCAAAAAAAACCATAAGAACTTTAAGTGTAATTATAAAAGTCATATTTTTTGCTCGTTCCACAGTGCCATGTAGTGTTGTAAACCTTCATACTGTTCATCTTTGCTGACCTTCTGGATCAAAGCTGCTTAACATAAATCTGAATACACCTGGAATTTCTCCTAAATGCCAAAACTGAGGAATCCACTTCAGGTGAGAAAGGAAGAGAGTACATTTTTGGGGTCATGTGCCATCAAAATATAAATACTTTAATGTAAAAACGCAACCAAGTAAGTCTGTAGATGATCCAAGAACAAAATCAGGCTTCCTCTTTCTCTTCTAGCACTGTACACTCTGTGCAAAACCAACAGCACTAAAAGGTGCTAAAAATCTTGATTCACATTTAATTAAGTGAAAGGCATGGCTGCAACCCTAAATACTTATGGCGGTGGGGTGGAATACCGAGAAAGGGATACGCCATTTTTACATAATCATTTCCTAAAATAGAACTGCAGTCTTGTTCAGTTGTTTCTATAGTATAACATCCTGGACCGTGCAGAGTGTATTGATAATGGCACAATATTGCATTTCACATAATTACAGAGGAAGGACTTCAAAATATTTCAGTCACATGTTGGCTACAAGTTATTTTAAATTTTACATTATTTTGCAGTGCTGCGATAAAATGCTCTCTTATTTGCTTGAGACAAGATTCCAGAAAGCTTTAGACAGAGCAGATTTTCTTAAATTAGCTTGAAAATTCAGTTTCCAGGGCAACATATGCAGGTCTTTGTACATCAACATTTCTTTGTACCATTTTTATAAATGTGGCTGCTAGAATGTCATAAAATACTTTTTAAATACAGTAAACTATTTTTGATCACTTTGATCCTTTTTGCCTTTAAAAAAGCTGACTGTCCTTTCTTTTCCGAGCATATCAATAAAACCGTCAAATTTTACTTCAGAGAGGCTTAATCCCAGAAATGCCTGCAGTGACACCCGTGCGTGCAATACATCTGTATCAGCATCTGACTGTTTATGTAACATTTCTGTACACATCTCTTATTCATCATATTTTTTCTTACAACTATTTTAAGTTTGCAAAGATGAGATATGACTTAGGGTCTACAGCACACTGGGAGTCTGCTGGCTTACACATAACATTAACCTGAATATCTGCTTCACAACAGTGATGTTAAATCACTGCCTACCTTGCACATCAAGACCCGCAGTGAGTTTTTCCCACCTGCCAATACACACAACTGTTATAAAAGAAATAAAGCTAATGACTCCTCTACCTATTTTCTCCTCTATTCTGAGAGGAAAAAAAATCCCTCAATGATGATTATTGTTATTTCCCCTCTGGGAGCACTTGAGAGGTGCTCTGCATCATTGCAGTGATGTTACTGAAATAGATACCTGAAATCATCTGCAGCAGAATTAATACGCCTCCTTCTTTGATTTTAACAGGGGTCAGATCAGACCCTCGCCACACGGGTTTAGGATGGAGCAGGCAGCAAATTAAATAGTTACAACATCAGGACTGTCTTAGGAAAAGAAGACTGAATCACTGTTACCTGCACATTTTACTCCCTGAGCAATGAGGCCCCACATAAAGTTGGCGCAGTATTCACACCAGTGCGGGCCCCTGAACGTGTGCACCTGGAAGACAGTAGCAGAAAGGAAAATTACAGAAAATGACCCAACTGTTTCACAGACATCAATATTAATGTGTCGAAACAAGCCAAAATTCCTCTTCTGAGAAGGTACCACATGCATTCACTGAAAGTTTTTCTTTCTGTTTATCACCGCAGGAAAGGAAGAAAGAAATATAAGAATGATTTAACTGCCAAGGCTCTTGCAGCCCTATGGAAAATGTGAGCTTTCCATCCCCAGAGCCATGCGGAGAGCAGCACGGAGCTGGAAGGGTTTTGCTGCAGGGCTGCGGGGAGGTTCCTCAGCCTCAGCTGGCCTGGGCTCCTGCAGCTGGATGACTCCTCGCTGCTGCGTGCGTGGAAGGGGAGCAGCCACAGGTCACAGCCCTCTCCCTCCATCGGGGTGGGATTTTAGCCCAGTTATCAGAGGAGCAACTCTTTCGCAGCAGCGCAGCCCCAGAGCGGCAGAGCGCACTCCTCTCAATTCAGCATGTCTTCTGCTTTGCCCTCCCCCCTGTAAGGTGCTGTGTGAAATGCGTAGGGGACTGCAAGATTTGAGAGTCTCAGTCAGAGAGTTCAGCCAGGCAAAAATACCTGTGCAACACAGAAATACTGAAAACACACTTAGGAGCCCTCTGGTTTAGAGTAACTATAAAAAGAAATTAATTTTCTTCCGATTAATGCTATATATTGAAAGTCTAAATTAATCTAATAAATGGAAACAAGAACGTGCTCAAGGAAAAAATTCAAAGCTAAGGAAGAAAAAGCCAATGCTCCTTTCAATCCAGGCTTGCCTGCCAGTTACAAATCCTGCAGCTACTTTTGATTTTATTCTGAAAAACTTCCTGTTGTAGGAAACCACAAGATTCTTTGCAGAGAAAATCATGACTTTCTTAACCCATGTAAAAGCCTCGGAGTGTCTACTTCGAATAGTCACTGACTGAGGAAAAATCAGTAACTGATGATCATGAAGTAATGACATTTGAAATGTAATAAAAATACTTGACTGAAATGTAATAAAAAACACTTTAGACTTAACTCACTCGGTTCTCCAGAGTTCTTAGGGGGTATCAGAGCAGGCAGTAATCTTACGTACATGCAATGCCTGCTCATATCGGTGGGAAGCAAAAGAACTAGCTGAAATGCGTGTGCCTCTCATTCACACCGTGCTCTGGTTATAAATAGCCACATGTGAAGTGGCCCGACCGAGGTGTTGAGCATCCCCTGTGCCGCTGATTTAAAGAGCAGCTGGATCCCAGCTGACACTTACCTCAAACAAGTGACAACACAGAGCAGCACACAGAAATTCAGATAAAGCTGCTTTTTTGGCTAAGGGAAGGTCTGTAGCCTTTTGGACACTTGCAGCCCATAAAGAAGCAGCAGGAAGGTGGACTGCTGTATTAGTCTGGAAACTTACTCTTGAATTCATTGAGCAGCATTTCACATGTGTGTCTGTGCTAAGCCAGGCTCATAACTGCCTCTGGCCCTACGCTGCTGAGTACCTCTGGAGGAAGCGTTATGGTACAAATTTTTACGTTCTTCTAGCACTGGCCCCAGCTCTCGTCCTTTCGCCGTGCTACGTGCTACGCTCGCTGCCACCCTCACCCCCCCTCCCCTGCTCTCCTCTGAGGCCTCAGGCACTCCACAAGCCCCTTTCTCCTCGCAGGTCCAGCTGACGCCTACAAAGCCAAGGAAGACAAGACTGTAAGCAGCTGTAATCTCCATTTCCTTTCCCTCTCACCACAAAGAGATTTTTCACACCTTCTCCTCCATTACCCCATCTGCACTACCCACATCCTCTTCGCTTTCTTCCTCAGCCTTATATTTTTTTCCAGGTCTTTGGCAGCTTTCCCTTCCCAGAACAAGCACACTCTAATATCCTCAAGCTAAATGGTGTGTCACAAAGAACTAAGGGAACTTCTTTTTTTTTTTTTATTTTTTAAGGAAAAAGAGCTTCCTTTCACCTTTCAGTCAGCATCTTTTTTTTGTGATCAAATGAACATTTCTGAAAGAAAACATTTATTTATTTTTTGAAAATATGTTGAAGAAAATTGAAACAAAAATGATAGTTCACATTTTAATTTTAACAAGAATCTCTGTTTCAGAATTCATTTCAATTTTATAAAAGGTTTTTTTTTGCCTTTTTGTTTTAGTATTTCTGACTGTAAAGCACTGGGACTTTTGTCTTGTTCCTTGAAATGCTCCGACGCTTTAACTTCTCACTCTAAGCAGAATATGAACAAATTCTGAAATGTTAGTATTTCTTGTAATAAAATAAATACAATAAAAACAATACAATACAATAAATAAAAACAATAAACATTCTCTTTACCAGAAATGGTACTATCACGTGCTTCTCACTGTTGCCACTTCATCAAATTGACTGAATGTGCCATTTGCGAGAGCATTTCTGTGTTATGCCAGCATCCCGTTCTGGCTTTTCTCCTCTTCACTGCTCCCTCCAGTGATGCGAGACTCCCCACACCTCAAGGTGCCCAGTCCAGCTGAAGCCGTCTGGTGCCTTGGGGCAGCAGCACCCCCCCCCCTTCCTGACACCTCGCTTTCCCTATGGTTTGCATGATTCCACCTTCCCCCTCAGCATCTCTTGTGTGAGGTCCACCACATCCCAAATCTGCCCCTCCAACCCTTTGCCTCCCTTCACATTCATTTCATGTCTCATATGTTTCTAACAACAGACACCCACTTAGATATAAAAAATTCATCTTTCTACTACAGCCTGTTCCCCTGACGTTGTCCTAGCTCTCGGCCCACCCCTCAGACTTTTTCTGCTCCTTATCAACTTAGACATGACATGCCCAAAACAGACTTCCCTCTTTCCTCCCCTGCCTTGCTTTACAGCATGTACTGGTCACTTTTCACAAGACCAAGAACTACTTTGCCACTCAGGATCCTTGTCTGGGGATCATTATCATTTTCTCCTCCGTTCCATACATCCACGCTTCATCTAAAGTCCAAAATGTCTTTCTTTATAGTTTTCATAAGAAATCAACTTCTCAGAACATTTATCCTGAGCCTCCTTAGCTTTACTCTGCCCCATTCAAATTATACTTTTTTTCTCCGTTATCCTGATTGCAAATTCAAAACAATTAAAAGCTAAAGGTAGATTTATCTGCTTTTAGCTTGCTTCCTCCTTTATCTGATGTGCAGTAAGATGGTTTTCTGGCAATATTAATCCATAGGTCCATAACTTCCTTCAGTCTCCAGTGTGCAGAACACCCGAGGTTCAGTTCTGAAGCCCCTTTTTGAGTTTCTAAGCATTGCTGTCTTGTCACAAAGGTAATGGCGCCAGAGCGTTCATCTTCTCACCACCTAGGAGCAGAACTGGAGTCTAGCCCTGTACAGATCTGCTCATGACCACTGGAAATCAAAACGGATACAGTTCTCTGTCAAAAATAGAGAAAAATTGGCCTTTAGAGGCCAGAACAGCACTCCAGTTCTGTTCCATCCCACAGAGTGGGACCTTGCAGCAGACTAGGAGAAACATGTTTGCATCCCTTTTGCTGGTTAAAGAGACAGCACCTACAAACAATACTGCATTTATTACATGACACTTTAATGTAGCATTCTGGTTTTTATATTTAATTCTCCATCCTAAAAATCTGCCAAGTGACTTGCTTATTTTCAAAACTAAAACATGCTTTCCAGAAAAATTTCTGTAAACTCACCCAGCAGAATTCCAGAGATCCTGACTTAAATTATAAGGGTTTTTTTTCCCTTTTAAAAAGAGCATCTGCCATATGCAGATTTTACTGTCTTATAAAATGTGAGAGAGCAGGATTGCCAAGTGTGGCTTTATACCTCCTATCCACTCCATTCTCACTCCCACTCCTAAAATCTTTTTCTCCTTTTTTCCATAATGCTTCAATCCTGAGAGATGTTTTAAGAAGTCTATAGAAAAGGAGGGGGGGGGAAGGGGAAGAGAAACTGTTTTTTTAATCTTAATTTGTAAAATTCCAGGGGAAACATGAAATTTAAAGGAAAATGGTAATTCTAGATAATTTTAAAGCAAAATAACTACTTCAAAAACTAGACAAAATCCTATTGCCAAATTGTCCTGCAAGTCTGAGATAAAAAGGAAAGCCTCCCATTGGGTTAACATTTAGGCATTTCAATTTCCAACTCTCCCACAGTATCAGTGAGGGATAATAAACATAGAACTACTGTGATTTTATGTAGGAGGAGAGTTTTCTGCTTAAGTTTGAAAGACGTTTTCTTATATACAGAGAAAAATAGCTTAACTCCTGTGATTAATAACTGTATGTATTACAGGATTTTATTTATTTTTGTTCTGCATTTAATTAAAATAGTGCTTAGAACAAAAGAGAAATTTTTAGGAAAACCGCATTAAAAATGACTTGACGACTCTGACAACAAATTATACCACAAGTTGTGAACTCTCCAAGCAATGTCTCACAGTGATTTATTTCTAAGGCTCTATAAAGGTCACTGCTGAAGTTAGTTACCTTTATATCTCATAACTCCATTTATTTATAAAGCCTTTTGTATTTACTAGGCAGTTTTTCAGACAGCCTTGATTGCTATCTGAAAGTCAAGACTGAGCCAGCATATAGTAGTCATAACTGGGAGACTTATGTTATATAACTTGTCAATAGGGGGGAGGAAAAGAATGAGGAAATATCAGTAAATACTTTGCAAACATCATGTGAAAGAACATGACAGATGTGCAGAGCTTTAGCAAAGCCCGAGAATGGAAGGTTGGATCTGAGAAACAATGTATATGCAAAATCAATGCTGCAACAGAAAGCAGTCTCTGTGACAGCACACAAAGAAGTCTTCCCTATTTAGAGGCTGCTGCCACGGTCTCCCAAAATGCCAGTTCTGTCAGACAATATCCATCCATTCCTTTTACAAAGCAGGACAGCCTTTTACATCACCCATCCACACTCAGCTGCTGTTAAGAGTAACGGGTTTTGGAAAATCCTGGCACTATAGTCTGTGTTGGGATGAAATACGTTAACTAGAAAA